CCCCCCCCCCCCCCCCCCCCCCCCCCCCCCCCCCCCCCCCCCCCCCCTTGTTGTCTCGAATCGTACAACACTGAAACAGACGCTGACCTTCGCCGTGATGCCAGCCGACGACGGGGCAGCCGCCGACGAGGCTGACGACTTCTTCGACTACGTCACCACCGCTTTCCCGGAGACGGCTAGCCACTGGGTCAGCTACGACTCGGAATCGGAGTTTCTCGACGTCATCGGTGAGTCGGGCTACTCTCAAGACCCGGCCAACGAGCAACCCGCGTTTGCCGCCGGCATCGTCTTCACCTCCGGCACTCCTGACTGGGGGTACACGGTGAGATTTTGTCGTAATGATTAAGGTGACGGGTAGCGTACATACGGCGTTGTGGATCGCTCAGCTGTATGAAAAGACTTGCTTTCCGCATGTACCATGTTTGCTGGATACTGATGGTGGTGGTAGTGTATTCGGTTTGGGCATTTAGACCTTCGTCCGCCTACAATGTCTTCATGGCTGTCACTTGTCGCCCTCCTGGTGGTGGAAATTTGTCAAAGTTGAACCGTCAATGATTTTTACCACACTGCCAACCAATGCTCTGCCGTTTCAGAGAAACATCTTTCGCTGCTGCTGCTGCTGCTGTCTGTCGTTGTTATTATGTACTTTAGATCCGCGCCAACATGACGAAAAGCGGGGTCGAAACGGACGCATATTACATGTTCAACATCCCCGTGACCACAGCCACGACCGAGAACAATTGCAAGTCTCCCACCGACTGCCCGGACGATGACCAGGGCCGCGACATCGTTCCCTGGGCCGCGGTAAGCTCGTGTGGTGTTATTGCTGTCGTCGTCAGCAGTATGCCCATTGTTGTTGCCCTCCGATGTACAGCAGGTCCCGTTCGCGCCGTATTCATGCTTCTTCTTTCCCACCAACAACAAGTAGGATCACTCCTCTTCTCCGTGCGTGCAACATGCTATATACGCTGCCTTTCCGTCTCTTGCCTCGGCCCTGAATCTTCCTGCCCTCCACTCCTCTTCCCTCTCCCTTTGTCCGTCCCTCTCTCTCTCTCTCATTCCTCCTTCGTGGGCGATGCATTGGCTATCAACGACTCAACCAATCAGATGTATCACCAGTCACCTGTGCTGATGCTGCAGCAGCTCGTTGACACCTGGATCATGGACTTGGAGCAAGGATCCACAGCCACCGCGCCGCCGCCTGTTGTGCGAATCACAGAGTTTCCGAGTCCCGAGTACGAGAGCGATGGGTTCTGGGCACAGGTGAAAATTTGTGTACCATATTACTGCGGAACACTGTATACCAACTCCGTGTGTTTGTTCGAGCGAAGGTAAAGATTTGCTGGGAAACAAACCTGTAGGTCGCCGTTCGCTCCAGTCGCTTTTTTCGCTTTCGGCTGGAGACGAACGTGGTCAACAACAAACCAACGACTTGAATGTAACTCCTTACAAGACCGAAAACAGGGAATCAACTCTTGTTCTTCTCAGGTGGGCAGCATGTTCGCAATCCTGGTGGTGATTGCGGTGCTCTACCCGGTGTCTAACGTCATCAGCGTCCTTGTCAAAGAGAAGGAGCTACGCATCAAGGAAGGGCTGAAGATGATGGGCCTCACGGACGCCGCGCACACGGCCTCTTGGGCGTTTAACTTCGCGTGCCTCTTCCTCTTCACGTCGTTGTTCATGGTCTTCTGCTCTGGAAGCGTGTTCGAGTTTAGGTGGGGGTTGGCTTTTTCGCTTTCCCCCTCTTCTCTTTGCTTGTTTCCTCCCGCGGGGGGACAGGGGGAGGGATTGGTGATGGGTTGGTCGATGCCGCGCGATGGGTACACAGCACATTGCACGCGAACAGGAATGTTTGTGCCAGTTTAATGGATATTTTTTTCAGGCTAAGGGAAAGAGTCATTCGTCGTCATCTTGGTGATTATTTGGGTAAGGGTGAAGTACTTTCGAGTTCAGGTGAATGTTTGCGGGGTCTCTTGGTAATACCGAGAAACGAAAAGTAAGAAGGACACATATTCGCCACCATCTTAGATACAGCTTGATACATATGAGGCACTTATCCCACACGTGAATGTTTCTCGAAGCTATCGCAGCATATGGAAGCCTTATCGCGAACGATGGTCTTCGCATGGTGCATTAGAGTAGCAGTTTCGCGTGCGGGTCATGCAGCCATACGGCCGGCAGCAAATGTGGCCTAATGAGTACCTGTTTGGCGGTCTGCTCCCCGGTCGGTGGTCTCCACCACAAACCGCCCGAACTGCTTGTGTCTCTGTCATTGAACCTGTCAACATGATTCATTGGAGTCGTGCATGATACAAGTTTACTGCCTCAGCGTACCCTATTGCTAGCTGAACTGACCGAACGTGTACTTCCTGTCGGTGCCTTGCGTTGTTGTGCGTGCGTACAACACGACGAAAACACAACCAATGGAACAAACGCACAAAAACAACAGCGACCGGGGGCTGGTTTTCTTGTACTTCTTCCTGTTCTTCATGGCAAGCACGGCCTTCTGCTTCTTCGTGTCGGGTGAGACAGATGTACCTTGAAGAAAAGGCAGCCAAAATCTTGAACTCAATCATCAAACTCTGGTTTATAGCTCTCCAATATTCTGAAATCAATGCCAGTGGCTGAAGTCAAAGATGCCGGGGATGCACTCGACCCCCATTTCCGCCCTCTCTGTCCATCTCCTCTCATGAGATACTGAAAGTTCATGCTCGACTACTTCACTCTGAATGGACATGTACGGTACCTGATATCCCTGGTTCCATATGATGGGGGTGAAGGACTGAGCACCGTTACAAAGTACATTGCACCGCCGAACCTAAACAGTCAAGCTTCAGAAGTGTCTCTCTCACGATGAGAACACCGCCCTTGACCTTCTTCATCTCTCAACAAAGATGCGTATCAGCAGGACCCCCGCCCCGCACCCCTCTCGACCATTTCTTCGATCGTGCCGAGGCAGCGCCTAGACAATCACAACCACCCGTCCTGTTTTATCTCACGGCCTTCATGTGCCACCCGCGAGGTTGGGCGCAACGGCACCTCCGTCAAACGGCCTAGAATGTTCACCCCCCCGTGTGTCTGCGTTATACCCCCGCTCCCCCCTCCCCCCGCAGCATTCTTCAGCCGTGCCAAGACTGCTTCGACCATCGGGACGCTGTGTTTCTTCGTGGCGCTGTTTCCGTACTTCGTTCTCGGGACCAACGGGACCCCAGCCAGCCACCGTCGCGGGGGGTGCCTCCTCCCGCCGACGTGTCTGGCGCTCGGAACGGTGGCCTTCGCGGAGTTCGAGGACTCCGGGGAGGTAAGGTTTTCTTGCTGGTAGTGGTGGTGGTATGATGGCGAGGCGGGGGGGAAGGAAGCGCCCGCTACAATTGAAAGACCGAGGTCGACGAAATCCCGTAAACTGGATAGGACCCTTGTGTGGGGTGATGTTGGTGATGCACCTACACCCATCGACGCTCTCTGCGTCAAGGCGTTTGGGATATAGGTGAAGCACGCCATGTGCGGAGGTTCACGCTTGCTGGTTCGCAATGCTTCCTAATGGGCGGTAGATCCCGTCCCTTCTCCAGCCTTGCATCCAAAGTGCTAACGTGCAGGGTACATAATGATCGGAGGCATGGCTGCGGGTCATCTTGGTAGTGGAGACGGTCGTCTCGCCTTTTACCAGTAAAATGGCAAACACACATGCTCTAGGCTGCAGCCAACAGCGACTTCTTCGGGATAGCGAGGAGACGGTGTGTCTTTGTACGAGTTGCCAATCACGACACGTCCTGGTGTTTGTGCAGGGGGTGACTGCGGACACCGCGGGGCGGAGCGAGGACGGTTTCACGTTCAACGACGTCCTCGGGATGCTGTTCCTCGACATTTTCCTATTTTCCATCCTGGCGTGGTACGCCGGACACGTGAGATTTAATGATACTCCTTCGCCGTCGACATTCGTCGAGGCATTTACGTGGAGCCCTTCCACTGTTTTTTGGATGTATTGTTTGACGGTAACCTTTGCAAGGTGACGTATCTTCAGGAAGCCCGAGCTCTAGTGGATGACTTTGCGAATATTTGGTCATACTTTTTGCCTTAAGCTGTACCCATCGTTGTGTCAAACAGCTTGTACCAATAATCATGGCTTCAACTCCCTCATTATTCTTCCATTGTCTCAATCGTCTTGATGAAGCCTAATTTGACCGGCTCATTGCTGCCTGCTCGAGTGCGGCTGAACGTGGACCGTATTCCCACACTCCGCGTCTTCTTTCTTCAAGGCCCCGCCGCCAAAGCTGCAAACATTTATGGGCCCTCCCGACCTACGCGTAAAACTAAAACTCTAACGAAACAGGTCATGCCGTCGGAGTGGGGCACGGCCAAGAAGCCTTGGTTTTTCTTGACCGCAAGACATTGGTTTACCGGTACCAGCGTGAAGTCTGCTGTGTCGGACAAGTTGGAGTTGCTGCAGACCGACGAAAGTGAGGGCAAGGTCTCCGTAGAGCCCGTCGACGACGAGCTCCGGATGCAGGTGGCTGCCGGAGAGTGCGTAGCTATACGCGGTGAGTTGTCTCGTTGGATACAAAGGAGGATCAGCTGTGTTGTGGTGGGCGTGGTTGTGGCTGTAGTTGGTGGTGGTGCCCGAGGGGGGTATCAGCGGTTGTCGACGGTCATCACTGTCGCCGCCCACGACACCATACTCGCGATCCACGGGAGGTGCATCCACGGGAAGTTGAAGCGACGCCCACCGCAATTTTTTCACGCAAAAAGGGCTGGCCAAGGAGTACAAGAACTCTACAGGGGGCTCGAAGCTGGCCGTAGACAACCTGGACCTCACCATGTACTCCGGGCAGATCACAGCTCTTCTCGGCCACAACGGCGCGGGAAAGGTGAACAGTTTACTTTGTGTCTATATCCTAGCATGTGAGGGCAGGATAGCCTGAAAACCCACTGTGGAATTGCTGACTGTCGTCGGTACGTTTGGGCTTGTTACTTTTTGTTGTTGCTTGCTCATGGGCACTGCGCCTGGCGTTGCTTTCGCGAAACTCTCCTTACGTCCGTACCTAACGAATTCTTACCCGAATAACCCTCTCGTGATTCCTCCTTCGTTTTCTTTTCTGCACTTGTGATGTGTTTCATCCCTGTGCGATCTGTGTGTTGTGCCTTGCTTACGTTCAAAAGACGACCACAATCGGCATGTTGACGGGTATGATCCCGGTAACGTCGGGGAGCGCCTTCGTGGCTGGTCGCGACGTGATCGCCGACATGGCGAACATCCGGCGCTCCCTGGGCGTGTGCCCTCAGCACGACATCCTGTACCCGGACCTGACCGTGAGGGAGCACCTCCGCATGTACGCGGTGCTAAAGTCCGTGCCCCGCGCGCGTCTGCAGCAAACGATCACGGTGAGACAATCACAAGAACGGTTGCCGTCACGTAGGAGTCCATCCGGCACCACGGCCAGGTAGTATGAGGCATCTGGTCGCTTTGAACGCGCCAAAAACCAACGCTTCAGGCCCTTTCTGTAGACGACGTAGACGAAGGGTGCCGCGGCCGTGATAGTAATTGCCCGCCATCGAGGGCATGCAGGGTTTCTTTCGGGTGATGTTGGAAAAGATACAGGTCAACAAGAGAGTGGGTAGGGTGGTACCTCAACAAACGAGGATCTGCCTGCCTAACTGTGCGAGCAATCAGTGAAAGCCGAATCCCGATGGTTCCTGGAAGTCGTGGTTTCATTCATACCCTCGGTATGCGTAAACACGGGTCCGCTACTGGGTCACATGCACCTATGGTTTTCTACCACAGATGGGAATCTAGTGGCCACACACTTGTACGGTTGAGGGCCGTCTTTGTTTTCGTTGTCAAGCTGAGTGAATCCCCCTCTACCTCGCCCCCACCCCGCTATCCCCCCCGCCATCTCCCATCCGCTCCTCCTACATCCCGCCCCCGTGTAAAACAAAGGCCACGCTGAATGACGTGGGCCTGACCGAGAAGGAGAACCAGCTGACAACGACTCTGTCCGGTGGGCAAAAGCGCAAATTGTCCGTGGGCATCGCCCTGATCGGCGGGTCTAAGGTTGTCTTCTTGGACGAGCCTACGTCGGGGATGGACCCTCACAGGTGAACTTTGGGCGTGATCGGATTGAGTGATGGGTTACCGCTGGGGTGAGAGGATGTCGGGAGAAGTGGCCGGCAGGGTGTTCTTCGATGTCCTGTGTATGTGTGGTGTGCTACGGCCCGTGTCGTAGCGGCATGCCGACCATGTACCATCACACTAGAAGTCGCCTTAGCTGCCAGATGCCGAACACACACACGCCTTGACTCTTGCCATTACCGCAACACACCGTCCCCGCCACACCAATGCACACAGCCGACGCTTCACGTGGGACCTGATCCGCAAGAACCGGGAGGGCCGCGTGATCGTCCTCACCACCCACTTCATGGACGAGGCGGACCTGCTGGGCGACCGCGTGGCCATCATGGCCGACGGCGCGCTCCGGTGCTGCGGCAGCTCCATCTTCCTCAAGAACCACTACGGCGTCGGGTAAACCAGATTGTTCGCCACTGGTGTGTGCGATAGTACGGGCGTGGTCGGTCGAGGTTGTTGATTTATTTGGTGTTGTTGGTCGTTATCGTTGCTGTTTGGTTTGCCTCGTGTTGATTTCTTGACATTTTTTTTTAATTTTTGTGAAATATATACACAACGATTCCGTCTCTACATATCCACAGATGATGCAATTTTCCCTCCTGGACTTTTCCTTCTCACGTGCTGAGCGTGCTGCTTTCAGTTGCGCCGGATCATGTCCCTCTCAAGAACTGCCGTGTCTCTGCTTCACCGTAGGAGTTCACTCTTCCTTGACAGCTTCCTTCCGCCGTGTCCGTAATCCCGAACCGTTCCCGCGTCATCCCAATCGCACAGGTACAACCTCACGATCGTACGCGACATCCAAGGGGCAGCCACCGCCGCCGCCGACCCCACCGCCGCTGCCATGTCCTCGCAGGGGGGAAACGACAATGAGCAGGGTGTCAACACCACGGCGACGCAGGTCCGTTACACGCTCAGGGTTATTAGGTGCAACGCGTGTAGGGCATTGGTTAAGGGTTTATTTTTTCCAATGTGTATTGCAGTGGAGTCTTCAGCTTCTACAATTTTGTGTTGTGCAGCAGGGCAAGGCGTAATACAAGTTTGAGTACATGAGTGCGATGAACCCAAGGGTTGTATTGCGTAGAGGGTCGGGGATAATCATGAAGTACAATAGCTTGGTTCGGCTAGACTTGGACAGGGTTGTTGGTCAGGGTTAGGGTTGGCGCTGGCAACAGGGTTTTGGGAGAGGTTTGCTCGTAATATTTTTAGATGGGCGACCCTGATAGATTGCACAGTGGGCGACTCTACGCTCGTCCATTTGGCCAACGAAAGGTGTGCTTCTTGGATTCGATCCCACGAAGAAAAGTTACATCTGTGTTGCTCTTTCGTTTCACAATAAACGTATGCTCCTTTCAGTCGGCGACAGCAAAGAAAAGTGTTCACCTCCTTACTATCAAATCATCTTGTTGTTTCGTTGAAACAGGAGCAAGGAGTGAAGCCAATCAAGCACCTGGTGCGGTCGCACGTGAAGGAGGCCACCCTCCTCAGCAACGTCGGCGCCGAGGTGTCGTTCCAGCTGCCCAATGACGCCTCGTCCTCGTTCCAGGGCATGCTCTCAGAGATAGACTCGCGGAAGACCGAGCTCGGCGTCAACAGGTGAGGGGGTTGGTTGGATTTTACAGCATGAAGAGACCCCGCAGGGTCGTTTTGTGTATCTTTCGCCGTGTACCAATGCTTCTTTCATCCAAAACTGGTGTTTCAAGCATTACTAATTTGTTTTGTCTGGCCACCCTCCCTTTCCGTTCAGCTACGGCTTGAGCGTGACCACCCTGGAGGAAGTGTTCTTGCGGGTGGCCAACGGCACCGCCGATGTCGCGTCCCGCAAGGAGATGGCCGGCATCGCCTTGATGCGCCAGAGCAGCCACTCTTCTACCGGCTTGAAGGCCGAGACCACCAAGGTATCCCGTTCAGTTTAATTCCAACCATGATCCACTGTGACCGGCCGCTGGTTCTCCACCGCGGTTAGCTTGGGTGTTAGCCTACAGTGGTAGGTTCACCCTAGGACGGTAACCGCACTTACTAAACGAAATTCAAGGTTCTCGTTACTTCCCCTGCATGCATATACCGGATCAAGTGCTTAGACCATCGCCACATATGTGACCATGGAGAACCAAGGCACGATTCACGCAGATAAAACTCCCCAAGAGCAACTCCCAACCATTCTTCCACCTCCTGCCCATGTTTTGGGATACCCTACGACCACGTTGAAACCAAATAACACGCCATCTAGATTGGCGGCAACATCGGTAGCGGCGAGGGGGAGGGCTCGGGCATCGACCGGTCCAAGCCCCTCTTCGGCAAGCACATGATGGCCCTTCTGAAGAAGCGCCTCCTTACCTTCAAGCGCGACAAAAAGATGTGGGCGTTCGTTGTGCTCATGCCGGCCTTCTTCGTGCTCATCGGCATCCTGATCCTGAAGACCGCGGGCACGTACAATGAGCCTGCTCTTCTGCTCACGCCAGCGGTGAGTGTTTGTGAAGCACCCCGTGTCTCTGAGCGTGCGTGCTTAGTGCTTGTATTTTGTCGTATTTTCTTCTTGACAGCATCGAGCGCGCTGCCTGATTGACCAAAGAGGGAAACAAAGAAACACAAAAACATTTTCTGGCTGAAGCAACCGTGCCGCGGTGACCACACCCGCATGCTACCCACTCAGTGCTTCGCTAATTCCGGAGCCGTCCCCCCCACAACTGAACAAACATTTCCGTCTACCTTCGCCGAAAGCGTGAATTACTTCAAAGTACCTTGTTGACACCCACCCCTTTATAGGCAAGACGTTGTTGCTGCGGCTGTGTTGGCCATCTGACTTCAAACTCTGCCAACGTACACCGCAAATTAGTTGATTATTGCTGGATTTCTCGGGCGGGTTTTTTTGTTCATCTATATTTGTTTGCAGGACTACAACAGCGGCATGGCCCCCTTTCCGTACTCGACTCATTGCACCGCCACGAGTACGCTTGGAACGTGCGACCCGGCCACGCTGGTGTCCGCGATGAATTTTCCCACACAGGCCACCCCACTCGACCTCGACACCGCGGTAAACAGCGATTTCGATGTGGTTGAATCGGTAAGTTTGGGGTGCTCTCGCTATTTTCCCTCGGATCCCCGCTCTCGATGCCGTCACCCTCGCAGATTGCACGTTTGTACCGGACGCTGTTGGCTGGTTCTTAAGTTTCAAACAAAAATTACACGACAATCCCATTTGTTTGGTTCGTTTTCTGCTCTATTCACATGTCATCTGTAGCAAGCACGCAGGTATTCGTTTCAACCTGTTACGTTTTTTGCGAACATCGTGCTAAACATGCACGGCCGCTCATTGAAGCTAGTTTTCCCTGTGGCGTGTCTTCCTTTGATAGAACGGTCGTGGTGTCGGGAATTGAGGCACGTTTGTTTGCTTTTCCCTCCCCCGGTGTTTGCCATCGGGGTTGGGTTTTCGTCGCTTGGCAACGACGCTGTAAAACAAGCCGCCCCCCCGGTGTTTTCCGGTGGGTAGGGAAGGCAAGAAAGGGCTTAGACCCGAAGAAAAGGGGGGAGGGGGGAGTCGGATTCCTGGTCAAGGAACACTTGTTTGACGTGGTGGAAGTAGTGGTGAAAACGGAGTTCGAGGAAAGCCTATGGCTTAAGATACCTGGGGAGCGGGGTGAGAAAGATTTGTTTCTAGGGAACGTATACGTCCCACCGTCGTCGAAGAAAGTCGCAAGCAAGGCGCAGGAGAACTTTGGACAAATTGGGGAAGATGTCCAGAGGTCCAGTAGGAAGGGAGAAGTTGTCATGATGGGCGATAGCAACTCCAGAGTAGGGAAAGCTTCCAGTAGAGGACAGGCGATCGGGCAGCACGGAGAAGATAACGTGAAATACAA